ATACACTGCTCAAAAAAATAAACACAAAAATAAGACATCCTAGATCTGAATGAATGAAATATTCTTATTAAATACTTTGATTTCACAGAAGTGTGATTGACTTGGAGTTACATTGTGTTGTTTAAGTGTTCCCTTTATTTTTTTTGAGCAGTGTATAAGATGCCAGTAAAAGCAACTAAGGAAAGGTAATTTTCTTGAAAAGAATCGGTTTTGTGTTCAAATGTATACTGACGAAAGTACATATATTTATTTTAGTTGAAATTTTAGTGAAAGAAATGCTAAAATAGCCTATTGTACTGTGATAGATAGATAGACAGACAGACAGACATAGGTAATGTGGCTTAGAGGAGAGAATATGCTGAAAAGAGATATATATTGATTTAAAATTAAAGCAAATGAAATAAACTCTTGTCAGAAATGATATATTATCCAAAGAGTTAAATTTATAGTTACATTTGCAGACTTATCAAGTAATTTTATGGTACATTAATAGGATTTGAACAGAGATTGTTTTGAATAGAATCCTTTTATATCAGCTGTTGCACATATGCTTTTTGTGTGTGTTTCTCTAAAATAAAACTTAATGAAACAGCTAATAAAAACTCAATTTGTTTGTGCTTTCTTTGAGAAATGAGCTGTTAATATGCAGCTACTGTTTATTACCAACCATGCATTTTAGTTGTCTTTCAGTAGATATTCTTACCAGGAATCCATGCTGTGTTACACATTTTCATCCCATAATGTCTTTTTTAAAAATACCCATGTCACGAACATGTTTAATTTTCTTAAATGAGTTAACATGTAAGAAATTTATAACTAGGTTTGGTTAATAGTACCTGGAGCAGTTGTTTTTTGCAGGGTTTCTGCAGGATATTTTTTTCATTTTATGGTATAGTGGTAGATGATAAATCACATTTTTTGAAGGTTTTGTGCAAGCATAAACCAGGCATAGAAGTGGTTTCATGGATCTATACCTCATATTGCATATTGATAGCCCAGTTGAATTGGTATAATGCAGGAATTATTGGATCTCAATACCCAGAATCTCCTATTGGTATGGACAGTGATGAAGAATGCTGGAATTTATAATTTACTAACATCTGGGGATTATTCATCCTTGAATGCTCACTAATGAGAACATTACTGAACAGTCTTTGGAATTGATGATTGCATATGTATTTTGTGAAATGTATCAGGAACATATTGGGAGGTATAGAGGAAAGTGATTAAAATAGCAAGTAAATGCATCTAGAGTAGACATTATTGAGTCTCATAAATCTTTAAAAATATTTCTCCTCTGTTACAGGAGAAGTTTTTCCATTTTAGTCAGTGTTAAAATCCATTCTTTTAATATCAAAATTAATAGCAACACAAAACTTGAGTGAAAAACAACAGTGTGTATCTTCTGATACCGAGCAGAAATGGACAATCCAGAATATCCCCAGATTATTGTGCTGAACTAAATGCTATAATCTTCTGTTGCTTAATTCTCA